AAGCAATTGACACAATGTATTTGTTCCATCTCAGGTCAGCAGTCAACGTGAGACCGAGCAGCCACAGAGGTGCTCTCATCCTTTACATATTCTTAAAATTAATTTTTAAATTGACTATAACGGAGCGTGTTTTATGCTCATTTACAAAAATGCACAGCTATCAATTACATAATTTATTGTTTTAGCAATTCACACATGAAGATGATCTCAGATGAGATTGAAAGTACTTGGGAAAATAAAAGAAATATCCAAAACTATGGCATCTTTCTAAATCAGTTTTGTAACAACACTAAGAAACTGATCTGTGAATTTGAGAGGATTAAAATAAAATAAATAGATATATGTCTGGATTATTCAGCCATACATGCTTGAATGAAGATATACTGCCTAAATACACACACCCACACACACGCACACACACACACACACACACACACACACACAAATTCAATTATAGAATTAAATTAAATTAAAGTCTCTAATCCTGTTTAATTTTCAAGTTAATTTTGGAATTCCAAAATTCACTTGAAAATGAAACAGAACAGTTTTTAGCCTCAATTTTTGAAACATGGTAATTCCTGTGTAGCGATGGAACCATATTTTTAAATATGTAAATTTATAATATTTATGCTCTTTAGATTTGCATTGAGCACTGTTTTGTAAAAATAAAACTATTAATAAGAACACCAGATTATATAACTTATTGTTCTTTCTCTTTCTTATAATATATATATATATATATATATATATATATATATATATATATATATATATATATATATATATGTGTGTGTGTGTGTGTGTGTGTGTGTGTATATATATATGGTGGGGTGTAAATGATAGCAGCTTGGAATGAGAAATCAGCAATCCAAGTTCAAATCCCAGTCTAGTTCCTTACATTCCCCTTCACACTAATACCTTTGGAAAGGTATCAATCTAATTCATCTCCTCTTAACTGTGGATTCAACATTAGGGTAGTCTGGCCTCTTTAGCCTTGGTTGGCAACCAATTTGAGAGAAGGACAACTCTTAAAGGAAACCAGTTATCTTGACCATTACTGTCACTGAATTATGGTAGTTAATGTTCAGAGAATGATATTCCTGTTTTTATAACTGTAATCTCTCTGAGTTACAGGTACAGGAATCCTTTGATAAGTGCGGCTAATGTGTATATTGGTAACTATTAAAAAAATCAATTTTCAGTTACTATGATTAAACTGTAGAATGTTTAGCCTACTAATCAAACTGCACAAACTGAATTTTGGTATATAAAAATTTGAGTTCACTAATCAAAAATGCATTAATCAAATGCATATGAATTGACAGATTCCTGTACTTTCTAGCATTTAAGGAAGTGGTCATGTGCAAAGCTGAGTTGACACGCAACATATATATCTTTACTAGCAGCATGGCCCGGCGTTGCCCATGCTTGATTAAAAAATCGTATGACTCATACAGTAATTGCTATCACTTGACTTAAAATATTTTTGCCCTTCCTTGCCTTTAAAGGAGTGCCCTTTGCCGTGCTGATGTTGCTATATGCCTTACTTCTTGCCTATCTCACACTGCGAATTTTTTCTAAGCTCTATACTAAACATACTAAATCTGTTACGAAAAAAGAATTAAACAAAATGAAGACAAAACGAACAGCTTTAAAAAGGACTCGTAACTGGAAAAACCGAATGAAAAAAGAATGTTAACAACAAATACTTTTTCACACCCAACCCAGTTCTGTGGAATCAGAATCAACATTGAGTTTCAGCAAGCGAATGAGCCGATTGGAGTAAAGTGCCATGCAGATTTAAATTTTTCCCACTTGTGACGAATGCAGCTATCGATTTGTTTTGCATGCTAGCATGCTAGTTAACATTCGGGGCAGTCAGCTATTGATTCTCACGCTGGCCAGTAGAATCTTCATGCCTATTCGTGGCAGCCAGCTATAAGCTCTCACTCTGGCCAGTGTCAGTAGAAAATGGCTGCAAACTACATGAAAACTGCTGTAGAAGCATGAAAAAATCGATTATTTCCACTATCAATGGGAGTTGGGAAATGCAAAGTCAGTCTTGGCTTTCCTGCTAACTTGGAGCATGTGCATGTAAATCTTGGTGCAAATCCGTTAAAAATTGCTGCTGAGCATTCATTATACACACACACATCCTGCCTTTTATAGATAGATATATATATATCTTTAAATATATATATATATATATATATATATATATATATATATATATATATAAAAATATTTATTCCTTATTCTTAAGTGATCATCTGACACCATCTGCTAGTATTCTTTGTGAAGGCTTTATTTATATATTCCACAGTATATTATATTATTTATATTATATTATATTTATTTTATTATATTTTATTTTTATTCTTATTATTTTATTTATTTATTTATTATTATTTATATAGTTTCTTCAGTTCAAAACTTTGGTATTTGAGAAAATATTTATTAGAATTATGCTATAGTTTATTAGTTGTTGAGGTTTTGAGTCATGATGTGGTTGTTGGTAGATTAGTAGGAATTTGTTTTCACATTATTGACTCTTTATCATTACTATTCCTTTACTCATAGATTTTATTCTATTTTATGTTCATATTAAAACTATGTAATAATTAAAGATTTTGAAACACAATATTATAATTATGAATATGATTAGATTTAGGAAATATAACTAGGATTATAATAAGAATTATAATAAAGATTAGAATTAGAATTATAACTTGAATTATGATCAGAATTAGGATTAGAATTATGACTTGAATTATGATCAGAATTAAGATGATTTGAATTATGACTTGAATTATGATCAGAATTAGGATTAGAATTATGACTTGAATTATGATCAGAATTAGGATTAGAATTATGACTTGAATTATGATCAGAATTAGGATTAGAATTATGACTTAAATTATGATCAGAATTAGGATTAGAATTAGAATTATGATTACAATTATGATTATAATTACAAGTAGAAATCATTAAAATTATAAATAATCAAAAAAGATAAGAAAATAAAAAATATTACTGAAAAAGATTTCATCTCAAAAGTTTGAAAATGTAAATTTATTTTTGTGTTTTCATTTCTGTTTTCAAACAAAGACCATCATTCATTTTTCGTATCTCATGTTTTAAGTTTATTTTTCCATCTTATTATAATAATACTTCAAGGAATCACTTTATTAATTAATAATAACAACAGAAATCTTCCCCACTTACTTTATGTCAAATAGAATCTTATATTAATACTAGTTTACCTATGCCATCAAAACCAATGGAATATTTGAAATTCTTGAGCCTTGGAGGGATCAGTTTATTGCTTAATAACAATAGAAAACCGATCCCCCTTATTTATGTCCTTATTATTAGTAGTTTTTTTACATCTGAGTCTTTAAATTTCTTTTACCAATTATAATATGAATTTGTAGTAATTCTTGGAGAGATCAGTTTATTACTTGATAACAATAGAAAACCGATCCCCCAAATTATGTCCAGTAGACTCTCATATTAATAATTGATCACAATAAATATTTTTTTCATTTTAATTTAAATGAAATAATAGCAATAATGAAGAATATTGTGATCCAGTGTCTATTTGTCTTGTTTGTGAGGAAATGGGGTAAAAATAATAATAATAATAAAAATTGATAATATATCATTTAGTAAGATGAGTATTAATAACCTAAGGCAACTATCTCTTGTATTTACTAAGATGAATGTAGTTAAAAACATTAATTTAAATAAAATAATAGCAATAATGAAGAATATATTGAGCCAGAATCCATTTGTTTAGCTTCTTATGATAAAAAACAACAATAATGAAATGGTCTAAAACTAATAACAAAACTTCATATTATATAACTTCCTGAGGTGAGTATGCATATTGTTTTAGTATGAGTATGGGTGAGTATGAGGTGAGTATGCTTATTCTTTTGTATGCGTACGAGTGAATATGATGTGAGTATGAGTATGAGGTATGTTTAATTTTTAGTATGAGTATGAGTGAGTATGAGGTAAGTATGAGTCTATAAGTGAGTATTAGTATGAGCATGAGATGAGTATGAGTCTATGAGTGAATATAAGTATGAATGAGTATGAGCATGAGGTGTGTATAAGTATGAGGTGAGTATGCTTATTTTTAGTATGAGCATGAGTGAGCATGAGTTGAGTATGAGTCTATGAGTGAGTATGTGTATGAGTGAGTATGGGCATGAGGTGAATATAAAGTGAGTATGCTTATTTTTTAGTATGAGTATGAGGTGAGTATAAGTATGAGTGAGTATTAGTGAGTATGTGCATGAGGTGAGTATGAGCATGAGGTGAGTATGCTTATTCTTAGTATGAGTATGTGTGAGTATGAAGTGAGCATGCTTATATTTTAGTATGAGTGAGTATGAGTCGGTGAGTGAGTATGAGTATGTGCATGAGGTGAATATGCTTATTTTTAGTATGAGTATGAGTGAGTATGAAGTGAGTATGCTTATTTTTTAGTATGAGTATGAGATGTGTATGAGTCTATGAGTGAGTATGATTATGAGTGAGTATGTTCACGGGGTGAATATGATCATGAGGTGAGTATGCTTATTTTTTAGTATGAGTATGAGTCTATGAATGAGTATTAGTATGAGTGATTATGAGCATGAGGTGAGTATGAGCATGAGGTATGAGTGAGTATGAGTATGAGTATGAGGTGAGTATGCTTATTTTTTTTAATACTTTATTAATAGGCATTTCATTCTGTTATAAACATGTCAAATTTTGCTAATTACTTTTTCAGTCATACTAGAATAAATTGAACTGTAATTTTAGACAAATTTTCCTGTGAACTTCTATTAAGGAACTTTCATATAATTATTAAAATTAAAATCAAGATAAAACATTTAGCAATTAAACCTTTCATAACAACAATTTTCTCATTATTTAAGTGTTTATGAAATCTTAATCTGTCTTTTCTTAAGGGTATTCTTTTCAATTAAGCTATAATTCACAGCTTTATGGAGTTTATTGAAAACAAATCAGGCATAGTTGAACTGGGCCGGTCTTTCTTTTCCGCCATTACTGTCAGATCTCTCTCTCTCTCTCTGTTCTTAGCATCAGCTGAACTTTTCCGCACTGGTTTATAATCTCTGAAGCAATAACAATGGTTGACTCAAGTTACCGTCGACACTTAAGTTTTAAGATTAATTGTCATCCATATGTTTCTGTTCACTGAAGATCCAACAATTGTTGGATCCAACAATTGTTGGATCCAACTAAAAGCTGGACAAAGAGCATCTGTGAGAGTTCTTTTTCTCTTTTTTTTAACTAAATTCATAATTTGACTTTTTGTAAATGTTGTATTCTACTTCATTTTATATGGATTTATTTGCATCATGATATTTAATTAGAATATGCGGGTCTGAGTGTTCTATACGTATCATTTGAATATATTTTCAGAATTCTGAATGTTCACTGAAAGCATACTTGTATAAAATGAGCAATATCTTACGTGAACAACATGCTATCATATTTTGATATGTTTTCTCCAGTCGTCTTAGTTAAAAATATTAATTTAAAAAGTATTTTGCTGTTGCCAAAAACAAAAATTAAAGCAGATTTTTTGTTTCAATATACTTGATAAATATGAGCAGATTACGCTGACAGAGGAAAAATCTAAATTCAAAAAAGATGTAAAAATTCACAAAGTCTGATAGCAGAATCTAACTCGGTTTCATTCTTAATTAAAATCTTAATTCCAGCTAAAAATTCCGGCTGCACATTTAATATTCTTAGCATGTTGTTCTAATTCCAAAATGTGTTTTCTTTATATCTCTTCTTTTATTTTATGACTGCTTTTGCTGTTGATGTCATATTGTGATACATGTATTAAATTTTCATAAGGCACTCACAATTTCTGACATTGAAAAATCATTATTTAGCTCAGATCAGTTAAAAATACTTGCTCCAAAAGTGGAAAAAAAAACCCCAACGAAAATAGGAAAAAGAAAATCTCATCCTTTTCAATAAAAAAATGATGGAACAAAAGCCAAAGCAAAAATATAATAGCAATGTCCACCAAGACAGAGGGTGGGGATTTCTTCATTTTCCCTAGATGATGCTGATGAAGCCATCTCCCTGTCGTATACATTGGAAACAGCAGCGCACCAATCACAGATCTTTCAGGTTTTAATCCGTGAAAACTTACGTGGCAAGATTTTCTATCGTCATCCCAAGCCATATTTGTTTTACAGGCTTGATGTAGGAGAAAAAGGATCCAACGATTCACAGACAAAAAAATGCCCACCTACCATGCCCACCTACCATGCCCAAACCTGCTCGTCGATTCTCAGAATGTCTATCAAGACATGGTTCTGGTGAAGCCACAGCCTAACATTTGAATTGGACGGAATCTTTGTTATCATTATCCGAAAATATCATTAAACACGAGAGACAGAGGAAGAAAAATTGGGGACTGTTTTTGCTTGTCATTCACCTGTCAAAGGTAATTAACAGAGATGAAATCATACAAATGAAAAAAGGGGGGGCTAAAAACAAGTAAATAAAAATTCAGTCGATTCCATTGAAATTGGGCCACCCCTCCCAAAAATAAAATAATAATGAGGAAGTGAAAACTAAGAAAAAGAGACCAGACGAATATAAAAGGTAACCCTGACCTATGATAGAAGCGATTATTAGAAAAGAATTAGCTTTGCCCAATATTCTTGTTGGCAGCAACCCAAGAACAAAGGTACAATGCACCATTTGGATGTGAATGTGTGATAATGTTGATATTATCACCATTGAAGCGTGGAGATGACGAATCTGTGTCCCCAAGAAAATGGTTAGAAAAGAAATCCTTTTCGCAAAATGATGCAGATTATCCAACAAATAGATTAGCAGTGACACCGTGGATGCTACTCATAGCATGTTATGATATTTTGGCTAAGACCGGTGGAGAGGAATGGGTGGTCCTTTGGCACTATCACCCTGATTGAAAAAATGTTCCTCGAATGTCTGCTAGTTTAATCTGGTTTTTATTATGAAGATGCTCAAGAGAATCCTTTCGGCCTGAATCAGTACATAGAGGGTGCACATGCCAGGCACATACATGCTCACACGCATCCAAATGATGAAACATGTCTATATCAACATGGAGATTAAGTCATATGGCTACATCAGAAATAAAAAAATACTCCAGTCCACAGCATGACTTGCAATATGTTCAGACACATAAAAACAGGTCAGAATATACACACACACACAAGCATGAACAAAAATGTATGCATGTGTATGTACATATATATGAGTGTGCAATTTCTTGCACACTCTAAGCTAATCAATATAATAAAAGAGATGCATACATCTTTTCAAATTTCTATGTAATAAATACTGTCACCTAAAAACACAGACAGCGAGAAGCAATTTTAAGCAGGAGGACATATCTATACACATATTCATAGGAGAATATAGTACATAAATTTCTATATATCAGAACAATGTCAGTTAAGCAAATAACAAAATAGAATCGATTCTATGTAGCATGTTTAGTCCTCTAATCTGAAAGACGAAACGTTTTACTTAGAATTGTTTTCCTTTTACCATTCAGCTGCTACACATATTCATAACAAATATATCTGGGCACATACATATTCGCAAATACACTCATAGACACACATATACACACTCAAACAGGCACACAGAGGTATATATGCACACATACATGCACGCATTTTAAACATATACTTATAATTTATGTGAAAATTATTAAGAAGAGGAATTATTATTTTGCAATTTGGAAATGCATGATTTTCTTACTCACAACATTTCGACCATTGTACCCTCTGGCTATATACAACAGGGGTGTTAACATCAAGAAGAAACAGTTGAAAATTCTAGGGCATATAATGAGGAAAGAGGGCTGGGAAAATTTGATACTCACAGGATGAGAGGGACTGAGGATAACAATGCATAACCTACCTAACAAGCTAGAGTAAATAGATTGTGGAACAAGGTTTGTGAGAGATAACAAAAAAGGCAAAATGTATTAAGAACTAGAAAGGACAGGAAATTGTGGAGAGCCATGGTTACCTACATCCTGAAGGGACATGACACATAGAAGAAGAAAAAGCTAGAGTAAATAGATGGTGGAACAAGGTTTAGGAGAGATAACAAAAAGACAAAATGTATTAAGAGCTAGAAAGGACAGGAAATTGTGGAGAGCCATGATCACCTATGTCCTGAAGGGACACGACACATAGAAGACGAAGAAGAAGACCCTTTGGCCATCTTCTAAGTGACATGCAACCAAGTGGATCAAAATGTTGTTTAAAAAACATTTCTCGGAGGCAGGATATAGAAAGTTTCCCATTGTTCTATCACTACTTCCAGTGCTCAGACAAACTATATTCCTTGGTTCCGCCAGGTCTAGCCTTCATAGTTAGGACCTGCTATACTACTTACATAGTACCAAACACCAGCATTCCCTCTGTATTTCACCAGTGAGAAGTTCCCCACAGCTTCTTCCTACAAACCAATTCCCTGTGGAAAAGACTCCCAAGAGAATGTTTCCCTGATCACTACAATTTTAACCTGTTCAAGTCTAGAGTTAGGCACTATTTTCTCCACCTATCCATATAAACTGCCACTTAACATAACCTTCAACCACAAGTGGCCCCCAGGCGTTGTACAGAGTGAACATTACTGTAAAAAGAAAAAAAAAGAAGTTTTCCAGGAGATATAAGTTCAATCCCTTGATCTAGTAATGCTGGAAAGTGATTCTGTGAAAGAAACGGAAAAGCAGCAAAGATGAAAAAAACTGGAGGGTACTAATTGATGGAAAGTGGTATTAGAACGAACAAATCTTATGTAGTGTGAACCTAAGTGTAGAAAAATAGGAGTTGCCCCTGTAGATGTGGGTTCAATCTCTTGTTTTGGTAGTGCTGAAAATTGAAGTAATTGATTCAATGAAAGAAATGGAAAAGTGACAAAGAGATGAAAACAAAACTGGGGAGTACTACCTGATGGAAATTGGAATTAGAATAAACTACCATTCTACGGAGTGAAACTTACTGTGTTTCCAATTTTCAGTGGATATTCCTATGTAAGTCTTTATGTCTCTGGTGTTTTCTCTCAGGAAAATGGTAGCCTGGTATATTATGTTTATTACAGGTGCCTCCAACTGGATAAATGGTTCCGGATTTACAGTTACAAGATGGTTTTACCCTTGCTGTTTTGTGGTCTTGGAATACATTTTATATTTGGCTGTTGTGTGTACTAATAATGTTCTGCATGTTTCTGGTGTATATATCTATCTATCTATATATCTATATATATATACATAGGAATTCACTGGAGGAAGTGTCCAGTTTTAAATACTTAGGAGCAATCTTGTCTAAAGATGGTACCTGCAACTCAGAAATCTGCAGATTGTGGCACCCATGGCCAAATTGACAAGAAAATGGAGGAGCAAAATCAGCTTTCAAACAAAGTACAGACTGTACAAATCACTGGTAGTCTCGATCCTCGAATATGGATGTGAAACATGGACACTGTTGAAAGATGCAGAAAGAAGAATCCAAGTGTTTGAGAACAAATGCATGAGAAAACTCCTTGGCATTTTCTATTGGGAACAAAAAACAAATGAGTTTGTACAGAAAATGGTTGAAAGTTTTATGGTTCACCAGGAACCTCTTCTCATCACTGTCAATCGGAGAAAAATGGCATGGTTTGGACACTTTACAAGGCACAGCAGCCTGTGCAAGACTATCATGCAAGGCACTGTTGAAGGTAGACATAGGAGAGGATGCCAATGCAAAAATTGGTTGCACAATATCAAAAAACAGATATTTATGACTCTACCAGAATTGCTGATGGCTGCTGTTGTGGAAAAGAGTTAGAGTGGCTTCTCCATTATTCACTTCTACAGCAACCAACTTCTTCCTGTAGTTCTCAATTAATGATTTGCAAATTTTAGTTCCATTCTTCTTCACATATGGTCTTCAGATCTGAGGTGTTTGTTAGAGCTCTCAATTCGATTTGAATTTTCAAATAATGCCACACATTCTAAATTGGGTTTAAATCCGGGGACTGAGTTGGCCATTTCAGGATATTTACATTATTTTCAGCAAGCCATTTCTTTGGAGATTTTTGCAGTGTACTTAGGATCATTATCTTGTTGGATCCAAAATCATTAAATATGCATCCAAAATATTTTGATAAGCTGCAGCATTCACTCTACCATCTATTACCGATAGGACCTTTTGCAGATAAACATCCTCAAACCATGGTGTTGTCACCACCAAATTTCACTGTTGAAACTGTGTTCTTTTGTTTGAAGGCTTCACCATATTTCCTTCATACATGATTTCTAGAATTACTTCCAAACAACACAATTTTGTTTTTGTCTGTCCATAATACTCTTCCCCTATATGATTTTTCCTTATCCTTATGTTCACAAATGAATTTCAACCTGGCATCTCTGTGTCTTTTCATTATCAGACGAGTTTTCTGAGGAGAGGGTGACTTTAGATTGTTCCTATGAATTTCATTGCTTATTGTCCATTTAGTGACACAGATTCATAATGAAAGCAAATCATCCTGAAACTCTTGATGAGTAACCATTGGCTTTTGCTTAATTTGATGCATTAATTTCCTCAAAGATCTTGAACAAATCTTCCATGGATCACCTGTTCTTTGGTTTTCAGCAGTTTTGAGTTTTTAATACCTTGCAATGAATGAACTAATGGTAGTGAATGGAATATGCAGGTTTTCTGAGATTTTCCTGTAACTTTTACCTAATTTCCAAAGCTTAGCAATCAGTTTTTTTTGCAAATTGTTGGTTCTTTACCTTGGCATGATGATAACCTTCTTGCATGAATATCAGTTATAGAATGTTTTGTTTGTATTTTTTAGGCTCAAAATAACTGCTGATGACATTACTGGAAAATTCTAGAATATTCAACTTGAATAATCCAGAGTATTAAAGCAATTTAAAAGTTTTAATATATATATAGGGTATGATGAATAAATTGTCATCTAAATTTCACAAAAATTAAAATATCACTAATATCTCATTTTAAAAGATAGACTTACTATTTACTAAATTAACAGAAAAATATCTTGAAATAATAGAGTAAATTTATTAAAAAAAACCACCAATTGTTTTAACCATGGCCTCCAGATAGCTTTGGAATCTCCTCTTTTCAACTCTTTGGACAGTCTCCTTGTTTAAGTTGGTGAATGCTGCCATAATCAGTTCATCTTTGGTGCTATGTGGAATTTTGTTGGCCTCTTGCTCATCTGCACCCCACACATAATAAACAAAGTTGTTGCAGTTTGGGGAGTTAGGTGGTCAGATGTAAGGGGTGATGTAGTTGCAGAAATTGTCTGACACCAATGACTGGGTTCTCCTACTTGTATGGAATGGTGCAGAGTCCTGTTGCCAGCATTACCTCCTCAAGACATTTGAGGCAGGCCCCCATATTTAGTCTGAGACCTTCACCAACAAACTCAGGAGTTCTTTTCTTATCACTACAATCAGAGTGATTTTTCTGAGCTACCATACCTTTGTAATAACCATTAGACTCATCAAACTCTTTTTGAATCCTCTGTACGACACCCATTTTCATACCCAAATGCTTTGAAATGTTCATATTGGAGTTTTCAGCATGAATGCCAAGCAGTAGACAATGCTGTTTTATAATTTCTAAAAGAGTGAATTTCCTCATGGTGCTCTTTTTCTTCCAAATGTTGTACAACTGACTCTATTATACTGTGCAGTGAACAAAATCTAAAACAACGTGCATGTGTGAAATTATCTATTCATATCAATTGAAGCTTGTTCATATCTATCCATTTACATCTATCTCAATTTGTTCATATCTATTTACCTATTTAGATATCCCTTTATCTCTCCCTATCTATCTATCTATCTATTTATTTATCTATCTATCTATTTATCTATCTCAGTGTGTTCATATCTATTTATCTCAGTTCATATCTATCTATCTATCTATCTATCTATCTATCTATCTATCTATCAGTCTGTTCATATCTATCTATCTATCTATCTATCTATCAGTCTGTTCATATCTATCTATCTATCTATCTATCTATCTATCTATCTATCTATCAGTCTGTTTATATCTATCTATCTATCTATCTATCTATCTATCTATCTATCTATCTATCAGTCTGTTCATATCTATCTATCTATCTATCTATCTATCAGTCTGTTCATATCTATCTATCTATCTATCTATCAGTCTGTTTATATCTATCTATCTATCTATCTATCTATCTATCTATCTATCTATCTATCAGTCTGTTCATATCTATCTATCTATCTATCTATCTATCTATCTATCTATCAGTCTGTTCATATCTATCTATCTATCTATCTATCTATCAGTCTGTTCATATCTTCTATCTATCTATCTATCTATCTATCTATCTATCTATCTATCTATCTATCAGTCTGTTCATATCTATCTATCTATCTATCTATCTATCTATCTATCTATCTATCTATCTATCACAATCT